GCGCGGCGTCGGAGGTGCCAGATTCCGCGCTCAACGCTGCGCGCGAGAACCCAGATGCCCCCATTTTCACCAGAGGGGCGCGCGCCCACGAAGACAGCTCGCCTCCTGGCCCGCCCACGTCGTCGGAGGTGTGTTTGTTTTTCTGCGACGGGCAAGGAGACGAGCTCGACATGGAGCCAGAGGCCATCGCCAATTTGACTTCCCAGGCCCCGCCGCGCCTCGCCTCGGACGGGCCAAGAAGGAGACATCGGATCCGTCCATAGCAGCGCGCGGCCTGGGCCGTTGTCATTTGTCCCGATGTTGGCGCGGACCCCGCGGCGGCCGTTCAAGGCATCGCCCTGGGGGTCCTGGCCCAGCCGCCAGCCATGGCTGAGCACTGCGGCATAACTATTCGCGGCCAGATAGCGACGCGCCCGACCGAGCTCGGAGCTGATTGTCTCGCTGCCATCAGATTGTGCCAAAAGGATGCGAATGCTCAGCTCACCCTCTCCAGCGAATTTTCTGGGGCGCACGCGTTTGCGCATCAACTAGAAGGGGCGGAATTGATTCATGAGATACGACACGTCAAGGCCCACCGCGATGAGGCTGAGACTCAGAGCCTCGAGGGCACAGACAGAGATTTTGTCGTTGCCAATGCTGCTGCCGACCGCCACGCAAAACATGGCCTGCGCATGCACCCTGCTCCTCCGCCAGAGCTCATACAACAGTTGTGCATCGCGGGAGAGCGAGCAGGATATTTCATCAAGCTCGCAGCAAATGCGCTCCTGCTTTTTGACAATGATGCTCGGTGGGCAAGCCCCCATCGCATCGCAGCTGCAAGATCACGACGACCAGTGTCGTGGCATGATTGGAGAGAGAGCGAGCTGGTGCTTCTGTGTGTGCGTTGCTTCCTAGTTGCAGAAGGCAGCTTCGATACCGCCCCGATTTGTGGCTGCAGAGGGCTGCCGCCTTTCCTCCGCGGTCTGCTCCGCGATCCCATGGGACACCGGCTCGTCGCCATGGCTGGACTGAGTCGGCGCGCCGGCGTTCTCCTGGAGTCGCGTCGGCCTTCGTCCAAAGGGTTGATCCTCTGCATATACGCTGCGGGGGTTGGTCCCAGGGGGGGGGTTCAAAGCTCGGCCGACCGCGCGAAGCTCCGCCGCGGAAAGGTTCTGGAGATTTGATCTGAACTCACGAAGGGGAATTGTCCGAACCCCCGAGTTCGGGCAGCCATCGACCGTGCTGTGCCGCTCGACGGGCTCGGCCGCTCCGCCGCCCCTCCTGCCCCAGACGCCCCGACCGTCGCGGGGACTTCACATTCGTGTTCGGATGTGGCCCCCTCCCACGAGCAGCGTACGTCAGCTGTGCATGTGAGGGTCCGACTCAAGGAACATGCCAAAACGGCCGCTTCCCGCAGTTAACTTCTGTCGGTTTTTGATTGGGCGCGTCTAGCGGGGCCCGCGGCCCCCTAACCGGTGCACTCCCCTTCGGGCCTTCCAGTCCTCCCCCCCCCTCTCTCCCCCGCACCTGCTTCCTCTCCCCTTCTCCCCACCCCCCCCTTTCCATTCCCTCCTCACTCCTCCCCCCCCACTCTCCTCCCTCCCCCCTCCTCTCTCCCCCCTCCTTCCTCCACCTCTCCCTCACCCCCCCCCCCGCCCCGCCCCCCTCCCGCGGCGCCCGCGGAGGAGCCTCACAGGCCCTTTCCGCAGACGCCCCACGCAGTGACAAAAGCAGAGCGGCGGTCTCTCGCCGCTTTCGGCCTCGCGGGGGCCGACGTCGGGCCTCGGGGCCGGCCGTGGGTGAGACACGCGCCCGGGGAAAGGGTCGGGGCTTCCGGGGACCCGGTGTGATTCAACATTTGGAGCATCCAGATATACATATACACATGCACACATGCACACATTCATCCATCCATTCATACATACATGCATGCATGCATGCATACATACACACATACACACATATGCAAATATCCATACGTGTGTACATACATACATACATACATGCATGCATGCATGCATGCATGCATGCATGCATGCATGCATGCATACATACATACATGCATGCATGCATACATGCATGCAGGCAGACAGGCAGACAGGCAGGCAGACATGCGTATATACATATGTATATATATGTCTATATATATATATACATGCATACATACATGTCCACATGTACATGTATGTAAACATGCATACATATATAAATATATATAATACATACATATATGCATGCATAAATACATACATGCATGCATGCATGCATGCATGCATGCAAACATACATGCATATATATATATACATATACATAGATACATATATATATATGCATACAGACATATGTGCATACATACGTGAATGCATGCATGCATATATACACACATGCATACGTACATACATGCATGCATGCATGCATGCATGCATAAATACATACACACACCCATACATACACCCATACATACATACATACATACATGCATGCATGCATGCATGCATACATACATACATACATACATACATACATACATGCATACATATACATACATACATGCACATGCATGAATGCATGCATGCATGCATGCATGCATGCATGCAGACAAACAGACAGACAGACAGACAGACAGACAGACAGACAGACAGACAGATATTCCTCTTCCTATATTTTTACAAGCCCGGGCGGGAGGAAAACCCCCCACCCCCCCACACCCAAAACTGGACTCCCAGGATCTGGGGCTTTAGGGTCCTCCGGACGGGCCTCGAAGCGCCCCCCCGGGCCTCGCAGGGCGTTTTGCCAAGCCTTCCCAGCACACCAAGGGCGATCAGGAGGGTCATCGGAGACGTCCCAGAGCCCCCCGAGACAGCACAAGAGCGCTCCAAGAGTGACCGACGTGACCTCAAGATGGCCCAAGAGGCCTCCAGGACGGCCCCAAAGAGGCCTCCAAGAGCACTCCCAAGAAGGCCCCAAGAGGCAAAAATCATTGATTTTCTGTTGGTTTTTGGTTAATTTTGGGGTTCTCCTTTTTTCGGCTTCCCGACGCTCCAAGACGGCGGTCTTCTGGGCGTCCGAAGCCGCTTGGGAGGCTCCAAAATCGCCCCACAACCATCCGAAAGGGCTTCCAGGCAGTCCAAGAGAGCCCCAAATCGGCACAGCACGGGTCCAAGATGGCCCTCAGAGAGCCCCATGGCGGCCCAAGATGGCCCCAAGACACCCTCCGAAGCATTCCAAATCGTGACCGGGTCGTTCAGGGAAACCGCGGTTGGAGGCAGGGTGGTCCGAGGAAGCCCCCAGAGCCCCCAGAACACGCCCAGGAGGCCTCCAGAAGGCCTTAAGAAAACCTGAAACCGCTTTTGTGAGGCCCCTAGAGGCTCTCCAAGGAGGAGCCTCCGCAAAAAAAAGCTGAGGAGGATGGGGAGAATGCGCAGGGTATGGCGAAAATGAGGAAAAAGAAGCATGGAGGAAGGATAACGAATAACATGATTATAGCGGCGATGCCGGAAAAGGCAACAAGGAGTTATCGCTAAATTGTCGGCTTGACCTTCTTGCTATTCCGCTTGCATACGAATTTCAAGGACCAAGGTGCATGGCGTGATGCGCCACTGCAGTCTTGTATATTATTTTATATTTTTTGATAATCAATATATTTTAGATATAGTTTATAGTGGTTTGTGTGTGTGGGGATGGTGTGCGAGAGTTTGTGTGGTGTATATAAGAGGGGTTTGGGGACCACCCATCCAGTCCCTTCGCCGCCATTCCACCGCCCCCGCCCCCCCCCCGCCCTCCCTCCCCCATCCCCCTCCTCCCATCTCCGCTCCCCCGGGCGAGGCTCGAGTGCTGCATGGTGGTAGCTTCCGTGCTCGAATTGGCCGCCTCCTTCGCTTTTCGCATCTCGGACATCGGCCACAACTACCCTCGATAAATGCTGGAACGGGTGCCCCTCGCACCGGGAGAAAAAAAAAAAAATGCCTCCTCTCCACCTCCTCTCTCATCCTTCCTCCTCCTCCTCCTCCTCCATCCCCCTCCTCCTCTCTCCTCCTCCTCCTCCTCCTCCTCTCCCTCTCCTCATCTGTTTGTTCGAGCTAGTGTTTTGCCTCCTATCCAACTCGTCCTCCTTCCTCTCCTCCATTCCTCCTCCTCCCTTCCCCCTTTCCACTCGCGTCATCCTCATCCTTCTCTCCACCTCCTCCTTCTCATCCTCCTGTCCTCCTCCTCCTCCTCCTCCTCCTCCTCCTCCTCCTCCTCCTCCTCCTCCTCCTCTTCCTCTTCCTCCCTCTCCTCCTCCACCTCCTCCTCCTCCTCGAAAAACGCTGGCCAGGGCGCACCCTGGGAAAGTCTGGGGGCGAAAGGCTCGTAACTGTGTTTTGCCTTTTCTGGATGCCGTGGGGCAAGGGATCTCGTGGACCCCTCAGCCCAGACCCCCTCGCGTCGTGACGCGACACGAAAACGCACCGCGGCATGAGCGCGGCTGCTTTCGGCACCTGCGGGCCCAGGCCAGGGGGCCGTCAAGGAGCGGCCCAGCCAGAAGGACAAGCCAGCCACAGGAAATGGGTCGAGACTTCCGAGGGCCCCACGTGCGAGAAAAAGCTCGACGTCGCAGCGCGGGCCTCAAGAGGAGCCGCAGGGGCACCGCCACCCCCTGGCTGCGGCCAGTATGCCGCCCGCACCGGCGCCGTCTCTCCGCGCGTTTAGTTGCCCCTCCTTCTGGCCCCAACCCGTTCCCTCGTTCTGGCGCAGCATCATTCCCAGCCTGGCGTGCTTCTCGTAGCGCCGTGCGCTCTGGAACGAGCGCCACCCGCCCCTCTTCCGCACGTCGAGGAGCGCCCGCGACAGGGAGGGCACGTCCTCCGAGGCCCCCCCGCGCCCGAGGGAGTAGAGCGTCACCGCTTGGTTGCCCCTCGTTCTCTCTCTCTCTCTCTCTCTCTTTATGTCTCTCTTTCTCTCCGTCGCCGGGCATCACGGCACCGGGCCGGAGCGTCGGCGACGGCCGCCCACGACGCCGCGGGCGGCGGCGGCGGCGGCGAAGGAGAACGATGGCGAGCCGCCGAATGAGGAGGCGGTGCCTGCGCTGGCGCTCGCTGCCGACCTCCAGGCGGCCGAGGGCGCATCGGCCGAGGGGCCTGCCAGCCCGCAGGCTGGCGCGGCAGCGCCTGCAGGCGACGTCCGGGGGGTCGACGATCGAGGAGGAGGAGGAGGAAGAAGAGGACGACGAGGAGTAGTGTCCCCATCCTCCTCGTCCTCTTCCTCCTCGTCCTCCTCCTCATCCTCCTCCTCTTCTTCCTCCTCCTCCTCCTCCTCCTCCTCCTCATCATCATCATCATCATCCCCCTCCTCCTCCTCCTCCTCATCCTCCTCCTTCTCTTGCTCCTCCTCCTCCTCCTTCTCCTCCTCCTCCTCCTTCTCCTCCTCCTCCTCCTTCCTCCTTCGTACGTTTCTTTTCCTCCTCCTCCTCGTCTCCTCCTCCCCTCCTTCTCCCCCGCCCCCTCCTCCTCCTCCTCCTCTCCCCCTCCTCCTCCTCGTCCTCCTCCTCCTCCTCTCCCCCGCCCCCTCCTCCTTCCTCCTCCTTCCTCCTCCTCCTCCTCCTCCTCCTCCTCCCCCTCCTCCTCCTCTTCCTCTTCCTCCCCCTCCTCCTCCTCCTCCTCCTCCTCCTCCTCCTCCTCCTCCTCCAAGCCCCGTTGGGGCCCTTCAGCCGCACCCGCAGGCGGGGTCACCCTCCTCCATCCCTGAGGCCCTGGCGCGGCAACTTGGTCACACCGGGCGATCTGTTTCCTTTTCGGGCCCGGAGGCCCTCACGGATCGATCGTGCCCGAGAAGCGCCCAAGACATATTGTCCAGGGCCGGGGGGCTCCGATCGTGATTTCTCACGATGTTGCCGTTTTTGTTCGCGACGTCGGATCTCAGGGTCCGCCCCCTCTCCAGGTCCGAGGCTCGTGCGCTCGAGGATCGAGGCAGAGAGGCTCGAGGGGCGGCCTCTCCCCGCCACGGCTGGCTTCCCCTCGAGAGTCTGGCTAAGGCGCACCCCATCCAGAGGCCCCGGCGCCCCTGGAGGAGGAGGCGAGGAGCGGGCGAGGAGGAGGCGAGGGGGAGGCGAGGAGGGCGAGGTGGGAGGCGACGAGGAGGCGAGGAGGCGATAGGTGGGGGGGCGAGGAGGAGGCGAGAGGAAGGCGAGGAGGCGATGGGGGAGGCGACGAGGAGGCGAGGAGGCGATGGGGTGGGGGCGAGGAGGCGATGGGAGGGGATTTTTTGGCCCTGGGTCCGGACCCCGCCGCATCATGGGAGGGAAGGACCAGGGACGCTCGAGTAATAGGAGGAGAAGGAGGAGGAGGAGGAGGAAGAGGAGGAGGAAGAGGAGAAGGAAAAGGAAGAAGAGAAGGAGGACCACCAGGACGACCACCACGACCGCCCCCCTCCCAACGCCCACCCTTGCTTCTTCCTCTCATTCCTCCGCCGCCCCTCCCTGGCCGCCCCTGCTTGCATTTCTCCTTGCATACTTTAGTTAAGAATTAAAACTTGCACTCAGAGGCGGAATGCCCCGGAGCCAATCCTCCAAGAGGCTGTGTCCGCTAGTGGCGCGTTTCGTGGCTCGGGACCCCGGACACGAACCCCAACACCAGGGGGTCCCCCTTGACGACGGGGGTGGGGACCCACTCGGGTGCCCCCGGGTTTTTTGGGGGGAGGAGGAGCAGGAGGAGGGAGGGAGAGAGGGAAGAGGCGGACGGAAGAGGGGGGGGAGAGGGAGGGACGGAACCCTCTTCCCCTCCCGCGCAGGTCCTGGCTCCCCAGACCTGTCCGACGCCGCGGCGCCCAGCCCGCAACGACGGCCCGAGAGGGCGCCGATGTGGGTGTGCCCCATCAGCGAGCAGCTCAGGCCAGGCCATCGGCGGCCTTCGGCGGCCGCCCGCGGAGGCCTTCGGAAGAAGCCATCGGCGGCCTTCGCTGGAGGCC